ATATAGAATAATGTAGACATAACCGGTCGTAAATAAAGTAGTTAATGGGAACTGGTAGTGTTTTATCATCAAACACCCTTCACACATTACAGCCGCTACAAATCATTTCTCAAAATACTTGCAATAAAAAAAAAGTGATTTTCGAGTTAAGCAGGCCAAGAAACATTAAAAAAAAATAATGGCACTAAATGTACATTTCTGTTTTATTTATTTTTAAAGCAGTGTAATTTATTAATCATATGTTTTGAAAGCAATGTATATTTTTCCAATTAGAATGAAATAAATATTTAATTTAGTTAAAGTATTTACTTTATAAATGTGCATAGTTTAATTTTGTTTTTTTAATTAGGACTTATAGCTACATTACCTTGCCCAAAGTATTTTACTAAAAACAATATTTATAAATATGAATTTTTGCATTTTGAAAAAAAACGATTTTTTCACAATATCGCAAAAATAAGAGCTGATTGAGCATAATTGTAATTTTTTGAAACAGCGGACGCTAATTACCCCAAAAAAGTTGTTGGCCTCCATACAGAAATTGTTATTTTTTTCAAATCCCATTTCCTTTCTTAACACAGTGGTCGGAAAAGGGAAAAAAGCTGGCTAAAATTGAAAAAAATAATTTTTTTTTCGTAAAACAAAATACAGTATTCTTTAAAAAATCTATTTCTGCAACAAATGCCGAAAGGATGGGGCTTTGATTTATCCATGTGGGTTTTAAGAGGGCCTGCCGCCACACCTGAGCTAGACGTTCGAAACGTCAAATTTTACGCTCTGTTAAAATGGCTTTTGTTTAAAGTAAATGATAAGCGTCGCCCCCCTATAATTTCTATCAAAATACAAAGTTAATAAGTTACTAAACATATTATTAAAAATTTGTGTGCGACCAACTACGATTTTCGTTTTAAGGACTTTTAGAAGGTATGTGGGTGTGCGTGGATCGTGCATTAGCAGCCCAACTTGTACAATGATAATTCATAAAAATGCCAATATCTTAAAAACTAATGATTTTTTACTAAGGTCATGTTTTAATATTCTGATTAGTCATGAGCTGACCTATTAGTCCTTCAAAGGATATCGTTGACTTTTTGGACACCCTGTATTTATAGTTTTACGTCACAAAAATAAATTAAGACAACTTAAAATATTTTCTTTAACTTGTTATTTTAAATATTATTGTGAATTAATATTGTTTGTTTGTATTTTTCAGGTTCAAGAAAAAGTTTGGGACTAATCACAGTAAGAAATCATAATAAGGTGAGTAGGTATTAGAATCTAATAATTAGATAAATCATAATTTAAGAATAATTATTAACCTACTCTCTTAAAATGTATTAGTCAAAAATAACTAATTATAAGTCATATTTGACTAATTGTCATAGTGAAAAAGCAGTCACTAATAATTAGTCAAATTCCACTGAATGAAATAGTCAAATTAGTAAATTTAAATTTAAAAAAAGTTTTGACCCAGCCTGGGATTGAACTCAGGTCTGTCACTTGACAAGTTTGTCAAGCTAACGTCTTAACGCATTCGGCTGTCAGCCGCTCTTATAAAAATTAATTTTATTTGTCAATAAATATGGTTCATAATATTTTAAAGTTTAATATATTATTTGTCTTGCTATTTTGAGCTAAACTTTTTGCATCTTTATTTGTTTTATGGGTCATTTAACCATGGAGAGGTATATGCATTTAATTCAAATAATACTTTGTTGTTGGCCGTAAACGACTAAAGAAATTAGTTACTTTTAACTGTCAAAAATAGTCAAATATGGTGACTAATCTTAAATTAGTCAAACTTTAACTATTTACATAGTAAAAAATAACTATTTAAAAGTGAAAACGACTATTTTATTAGTAAAAAATGCTTTTACTAATTCAAATAGTAGAATTTTGACTATTTCATTTTTAGAGAGTAATTTGAAAATAAAATAAATGAAACTTTGGTTAAAAGTAAAAAACAAACATTAAAAGGGATTCCATCAAAACCAAAATAAAATTTCTGATTTGACTCACTCATCCAAACGAAAATACCTGTTTGGATTAAAATGGCTCAAAATTAATCCCTTTATAGTTGTTACTTTGTGTTTGCTGGTAAATTGCTTTAATATAATTTTTTATAATGTTGGTATTTTAAAATGTTATTTTAATTTTTTTTCTCCAAATATATATTTTTGTGCCTTTAAACTAATATATTATGGTATTTTTATTATTTATCGCCCACTATTGACAACTATTTTTAAATGTGTTACATTTTTATTTACAACAATGGCGTTTGAGATTTTATAGTTTAATAAAGCATTTATTATTATTATAATTATTTTTAATAATATATTGAAACATTAAACAATAAAACCTATAAAATTAAGGTTGGAAAAAGTAAAATGGTGGATTTTTTTGTAAGAAATAATAAATTAATTCTTATAATAGGTATATTCTATAGTATACATGTTTTCGTTTTTAAGTAAATAGATTTTAAGATACCATGGGGGGCCGTTTTATTTTTTATTCAGGAATTATTCGTATGTGTTAACAGTGTAAATGTGATATATTTAATTAAATAAAAACATATCACAAACAAATTTTTAATGAATTAAAAATTTCTGTTTATTTATAAAAATAAAAATTAAATCGAATTAAACATAGGTATCTTGCATGATATTTTTTATTTTGACTAATATTAATTTTAGTTTTTTAATTTCCGCTGTGATATTTTTAATTTGCAGAATAAAAAATCTTTTGGGATATTTTTTATCTAATTGCAAATATTGGTTCGTTATTAATATTTTCAGATATCTAAATCTACATTTTAGATATCTGAAATTAGTTTCAAATATCTGAAACTAAGTTACAGATACCTGAAAATGAATTACAGATATCTGAATTTAATTTCAGGTATGTGAAATTATTCGCACATACGAATAATTCATAAATAAACAATAAAACGGCGCGCCATAAGATACGCATAAAATCTGAAAAAAGCACTGCTACTGAACAATTATTATACAACAATGTTATATTATGAAAAATAAAATATAACATTTCTGAACGTATAAAATATCATCCGATTTTGAAGTAAGTTATACAAATAAATACTAAAATTCTCTAGAACATAGTGGGGCTAACTTTTTATTTCATTAAGTACCGAAGCTGAAAAAATTAGAAAAAAATTGGACAACAAATCTAGACGTTTTTCGGAATCAGCACGAAATTTTACCCTAGAAAAAGTGTTCTTGTCAAACTTTATCGAATTTTATGGTAATTATATAAATTATTTCCAATTTTCCATAAAAACATGGTATTTTAAGAAAGGTATAATAAATAAAATCATTATCACTCCCAAGATTCAGCCACTCAATGACAAGAACTTTGTGGAAGGGAGCGGTCTAAATAATGCACACTCTGCCAAATAAAAACAGCAATTTATATACGGAAAGGTGCAATAACTTAACTTTAAGTATGTCAATAAGAAGTCCATTATTTAATTATGTAATGCTTTCTCTAAGCTGCAACGCTTTAGCGGTCGGTATATTTAGAACTAGATATAAACAGTGTGAAAGGTTAGAAAAAAACACTGCGGCTTTATTTCTTTCTAAAACATTTTAGAATATTTTTGTTGTACCCCAGAGGAATTAGGTTAAAATTCTGTCATTATTTATAATACAACATTTAAGTATGGTTAATTTATATATTTCCGTAATGGCTTTGTTATTAAAATTAAAGTAAATTAAATTTAATTAAAAGGTGTTTTATTACTAATTGCTAAGATTAAATTAATGCTTATAACAAAACTTCAATGAAAATACGTAATTATTAGCAACTACTACTTAATTAGGTATCAATATTGATAAAAGTGTTTATTAGGAAATGTTTTGGTTTAAATTTAGAACAAGATTGCTAAAATGGCAAGTTTTTAGGTGCTTTTTTACATTCAAACAAAAAAGATGTAATTTTTTCGCTCCAACATGAAAATTCCTTACTTAAGTTTTTATCGCAAATACTTTGCTTAGTAACGTACTTTTTAATATATTTTTGTATTAAATTACGCACTCTTAAGCCTAGAAACCAAAAAATTTAATGCTGTATGTATTTTTTTTAAGTTCTGACCATTTAAATGGAAAACCCCTTATATTGTGTACTATAATAGTATATTATGTATCAAGTTTTATAAACGCCATTTTAGTTACGAGTTTTATCAGGCACGAGCGAATCTGCAAGTAGTAAGTGTTTAATAAAACGAGTTGCATACCATTCTTTATCCACGATAAACAAAGAAGAATTTAAAGCCAATTTTATTTGTTAAAAATTTGACATCTGTCATATGTCAACGGATTTAAACTCACAATTTATAATAAAGCTAACTTCGGCCAGTGACTTAAATGCCCAAATGCCACTATTGCTTATATCAGCCCATGACTAAAACGCCATGAAGTCACAGCTCGTCAATCTACGAGTAGATAAACGTATTATTCCAAATTAAATTTGAATTATATACAAAAAAAAATTAAATACTATAATACCGATAAAAATTATAGCTTAACCATGCCAAGCTTTTATCAATTTTATGGACGCAAAAGTCATAAACTTTAAAGATTGTACCTCGGCTTTGAGTTTATAACTTTTATGCAAATTTAAAGCTCTTTCTTTACATGTGTATGAAATAAAAGGATTTAACTAGTACAAAACGATATAGTAAGTAAGATTATACTAAATTCAATAAAGCGGCCGCCCTAAGATTACGGTTTCCCTATTTGTTCACAACCTCCTTGATATGGGTATCAAATAAAAGGGCTTAACGAGTAGAAAACGATAGGTAAGTGACGTCATAATAAATACATAGAAGACATCGTCTATAATATAATATAAATATGCAATACAAAAATTGCATGTACCAACTCCATTGTAAGTTAAAGTCCATACGGATTAAAAATACTGCCAATATGTATAATATGAATACAAAAAATATTTAAAGTTTAATGGAAATACGTTTTACTTACCTAAGATGTTCATCCTGATCCACTAATAATTCAGTCAAAGAAAATTCCACCACCACTTCAGCCAGTTGGCGATGAAGTAATTCTGTTAAAATATCAGTCAGCTGTCCCCATACAGAATCCCCTAAGCTTTGTTCTGAAACATAAAACAAAATGAAATACAACAATTGTTAGCAGTTATGTTTGTTTAACTAAAATAGGGTAAGATACCCATTAATTAATAATATGTATTTATTGTCCAACAGTGTACAGCATAAAAGGACTTTCAAATAACTTATTATTATTACTGCAGTAATAATGTAAACATAAAATGTAACAAATACGATTATACAATATTATGACATATTAATAGAAAACATAATAAAGGACTTTCAAATAACAGTAATAATATAAACATAAAATGTAACAAATACGATTGTACAATATTATGACATATTAATGGAAAATATAATAAAATATATAGAATTGTATATATATAAAAAAAAATTAAAAGGTTTACAATACAGATATTTACAGAAACACTATAGGATAGACAGTTTAGACAGGTATTCAAAAGAATTAAATGATCAAATCCCTGAGGCTGATAAAAATTAAATGTTCTAAAATTAAAAAACTTTAGGTATTTGCGCTGAATATTTTCAAGGTTTTTTATATGACATGTGTATATTTCTAAAAATAAAAGAGTTTTTGTAGCGGATTTAATTTTTGAGTTTATGTGTCCTATACAAAACTATTATGTTATAATATTAAATATTAAATTTTATAGTAGATATAAGTACATATATTAATAAAACATTTCAAAATTAAATTTAACAATTTATAATTTATTAAACAAATCCTGCATATTTATTTTATTTAATTCACCTGTTTTTACGTTATTCAATTTTAATTAAAAGTTTAATTTTAAGCTTTTCGTTTAAAATAGGAAATTCGGTTTTTTATACTGACCGAAATTCTGACTCTCTTAAAAAAAAATAGTCAAAATTGTATTATTTGAATTAGTACCAGCATTTTTTACTAATAAATTAGTCGTTTTCACTTTTACATATTTATTTTTTACTACGTAAATATATTTAACTATAGTTAAAGTTTGACTAATTTAAGATTAGTCACCATCTTTGACTATTTCTGAGAGTTAAAAGTAACTAATTTCTTTAATCGTTTGCGGCCAAATTTTTAAGAAAATACTATTTCAAAGACACATACAATTTCAATTATACATAGTAATAGACAATTAGAAAAATTATTAACAAAATCAGAAACCAATGGAAAAAACTTTGATGAATCAAATTTTTTGGAAAAAACAAAAACAAATTAAATTTTTTTTAAGTAACAATTATTGTTTTTTAAAAGTGGCAATAAAATGTAAATATAGAAATTATGTAACACCCTTTAATATTAAATTAGGAATAGACGGGGGCAATGTATTTTTAAAAAATGAAAACAAAACAATTTTTAGAAAGCGGTGGTAAAAAACTTTTTATAATAAAAAAATATTACAATTTAAAAATGCTATGGAATATTTTAAATTTAAATTCTTTGAAGGATAATTATTCTTAAGACCGGATTTAAAAATTCTTAATATATGGCCTACAACCACATGGCTTACCCATCAGTGCCAACAAAAATAACGGAGAAAAAGGAGATCTCAGATCATTAAAAATTATTTAAATTGGTTACGTGAAGAAAAAAAATAGCAATAAAACCAAATTAAGTTTACACAAAAACTGTTTCAATTTACCAATTATTGAAAGTCACAGACTGTGATTGAAAGTAATAAAAATGTTATATTTGTTCCTCCAAAACTGCAGTCATAAAAATTTAAAAAAAGACCCATTATCGTAGATACATAGGATAAAAAGTGCAACCTCCAAAAAAACTAAAGGCTTTGGATGGTGGAAAGGAAAATGAGAGTTCAAAATTCTTAAAAAAAATCAATACCTGAGAAAAATTTGGAATATTTAAAATTCATTCAATGTTTTGCAAGTTTGGAAAAAGTTGTAAACATGGGTTTTGGTAAAAAAATAAATATAATTATTTAGACCAAATAAACAAATTTACGAAAGATTTTGAAGACCTACAAATAGGAGTAATTTCCAAGATAAATTCGATTATTTATCATGTGCCTGAATTTGTACAAAGGTAAAAAGAAGGTATGGGAATTTATTCCGAATAGGCATTTGAAGCTGCCCAATGGGCACTGCCCATGCCCATTGAAAAACTTTTTTGACACGTTACAAGTAGAGCCAATAGCACCCAGAATACCCAAAACGTTTAGTTAATGCAATTAATATTTTATGAAATTATGAAATTTAATACATTTGATTATTAAAACTTTGTTTTAAGGGTAGTTTTAATTAAAATACTTAAAGTTAATACTAAAAATAGCAATTAATTAAACCAAGGACTAATACTAAAAATATTTTAAAAAAAAACACAATTATTTAGGCAAACTAATTTAATTAAGGACCAGTTTATTCTTCTTTGGTAAAGTTTATCTGCCCGATAACTTTCATGCCTTGACCACAGATGTCTGTGGTCTTGACAATAGTATTCAAAGAAATTATTCGTTAAATAAACCAAAAATGAATCTGCTCTATATAAAATAACTTTAATTTAAGTCTAAATTAAAACTTTAAACGTGTATTGCAACAAAACAGTAAAAGATACAAAAAAATCACGTTTCAATTGGATAGTTAAAAAAGTGCATGATATTTGTAATAAACAACCAATTAAAACAAAAGTAACCGTGAGTTTTTTTTTATATTAGTTTTAGTTATGACCTAATTAACAAGAGTATAAAAATAACTAATTATAAGCATATTTGACTAATTGTCATAGCGAAAAAGCAGTCACTAATAATTAGGCAAATTCTACTGAATGAAATAGTCAAATTTGTCCAGGAAACAAAGATTGTAGGAGGAAAAATCGATGGGAGTCGGGTTTTAATTTTTTTTATGTAGAGTCAGGGGTGCTGAATCAGCACATAAAACTGCTGATAATGAATATTGGGGAGTATTCTTGATTTATTATCAGCACCCCTGACTCTACATAAAAAAAATAAAACCTGACTATCATCGAGTTTTCCTTCTACAACCTTTGTTTCCTGGACTAAACTAGTAGATTTAAATTTAAAAAAGTTCTGACCCAGCCGGGGTTTGAACTCGGGTCTGTCTCTTGTTAAGCCTATGTTATAATAATGAGCCATCAGTCACTTTTATGAAAATCAATTTTATTTATCAATAAATATTGCTCATAATATTTTAAAGTTGAATATATTTTTTGTTGCTGTTTTGAGCTAAACTTTTTGCACCTTTGTTTTATGGGCCATTTAACCATGGAGCCTATATGCATTTAATTTGTTGTTGGCCGCAAACGATTAAAGAAATTAGTTACTTTTAACTCTCAGAAATAGTCAAAAATGATGACTAATCTTAAATTAGTCAAACTTTAACTATTTAAGTAGTAAAAAATAACTATAGTTCTATCAAGTTTGATAAACGCCATTTTATACACGAATTTAATTTAGGCACTAGCGAGCTTGCGAGCGAGTTCTTAAATTAATTAGTGTATAGAAAAGTTGATAAACGAGGTGCATACTATACTTTTTCTACGACAAATACTTATTATCTATGAAACAACAGGGGAAACTGTCAAATGTCACATTTTTACATTTTATAAACACAATTATAAAGGTTATAACTCGAAATGTATATTGAAAATTGACAGTTTTTCACAGTGAAAGTAAAGGAAATGTTTTATGAGGATTTTACAGTAGAGTCCGTGCCCGAATTTAAGTAATAGTTTACTGCCGGCGAAATTAAAAGGTCAGTATAATGTTCATATAAACTTTTCAAATATTGGCGTGGAGAAACTATTTAATATTTTTGTATTGAGATAATAAAATAATTTCCACATTTGGTAATATTTTACCAGATTTTAACGATTGTATGACAATGTCAACTAACTTAAAACTAACTTCAGCCCGTGACTAAAAACCTGTTGCTAACTTCAGCCCGTGACTAAAGCGCCGTAAAGCAACAACTTGTCAATGTGTATTTAAAAGGTCACTTAGTGTCATGGAAACATGTACGAGAAAGGGCGTTTTAAAGGTGGGTGTAGAAAAATATATTTAAAAGTGAAAATGACTATTTATTAGTAAAAAATGGTGGTACTAATTCAAATAGTAGAATTTTGACCATTTCATTTTAAGAGAGTAGGTTTCACAGAACAGCACCGTGCCTATTACTCTGCTGGTACACCCCGATTCTTTTGATGAAATTTTTGACCAAACCCTCTTCAAGCGTTGGATTTTTTTAGTATACATGAAAATTCCACAGAAAAAAATGCAGGGTTCATGGCGGTCCTTTGTCATTAATTCTGTCTTATAATTTATGGCAAGGTGTCAACATAATAATACAAAATTCAAACCCATGTCCATGTCAAACTTTGAATAAACGCTTAACATTTATTTGGTAAATGAATCCAAATCCATTAACAAACGTACGAAGTAATTTTAGCACAGGAAAATTAACAATTTAATTTTAAACAACATAGCTTACTTTAATTAAGATGTTAATTCAATCAGGAAATAGTTTGCTTTGTAATTGCTTTGATAAGGTTAAATTGTGATTTAGATGCAAAAAGCAATGTAAAGGTTGTATATTTTAGTTAATTAAAACAAATCAAATAAAAATAAGGTGAAAGAGTGATTTTTAACATTAAATAAAATCATAACTGCAAATAAACAATGTATTAAAAATGACAAAAACCATATAAAATGTTTAAAACAGAAGTTAATGTTTTTTAAACAATTTGTTTTTATTGTTTACTGCAAGATGGTGGTTTTTACTTCCCAGAAAATATTTCGCAAGTCCCATAACGAATTATATATTAAAGAAAAACTTTACTTACCTCCATTTGACTTGGTAATTTTGTTTTCAATTTCATTTTCGTCGTCAACGAAGTAGCTCACCTAAACAAACATGCAATTTAAAGTTAATTCAGTTTCAGTTTTGCTGAATTGTTTGCTCCACATAAAAATGACAATAAAAGTTATCGTTATTTAAACTAAAATTCCACGCGATATTCAAATACCTACGTTATTATATTTATTTTTTATTTGAAATCAAATTGACAACGTCGCTAAATTAACCAAACTTCATACTTCTTCTATAAATTGATTAAAGCTAATTATTTTGAGTAAATATAAAATATAAAAAAACATACAAAGGGGTCAGTAAAATTATACAAAATCAATGGCAATTGTCGCCCTTTTTTCGGAACAAAAGTTGCTACATGACCTCTTAATAAACTTCAAAGGGCAAGCAACAGAAAACTTAATTTATAAACAACGTTGACAACGTCTCAAATCTAAAGAATAATGGTCCAAACACGCCAAGTAGCGCAAAATCTAATAACAATTGACAAAAAAGTTCTACAGGAATCAATACAGATGCCAAAAAAAACCTAATTACATCGAGGAAAAAATGGACAACTTACTTACCGAAATAAAAAATTTAAAAGGAAGTAATATTGAACTAATAAGAAAGCTTTCAAAGAAGCAAGACCATAAAGACATACCCATAATGTTTGTCAGACATTATTGGACACCTCTAGTGACTCCAAATGCTCAACAAAAACTTAGAGCAAAAAAATAAAAAGCTTGACACTGCAATAAACAAAAAGAAACCAGGCTCTCCAAGCAAAACCAGCATACCTAAAACTCATAATAATCGTATTATCCAGAGATCTGCTCATACCTCTAGTGATGAAATAATGGTGGTGACTAGGAAAATATGGATATGGGTGGGTAGACTTGAACAAAGCCAAAGCTGCGAAAGTTTGGAGACCTACCTTAAAAACAATTTCCTGGAAAAAACTTTGATTGTCACATTACTCATCCATCCAAGTTCCTCAATTCAAATTGGAGATGATTATGAATTATTTACGGATTTATACTCAGATAGGTACCCTTTTTGTTTTTTTGAAAAACCACACAGACTTTACCAGAATAAGGATTGACAGAACCCAAATCAATACAACAAAATCAAATGCTTATACAAACGCAAACATTATAAAATTCCTTCATTTAAATATTTAGTCAATTCGGGACAAATCCTTGAAACTAAAAACTCTTCTTTAGACAAGGATATTAAAATAGTATCCATTACTAAACACTGGCTAGCCGAATCGCTTAACTTATAAGAGAAGTCGATTATCAAATAGTTTCATATTTCGCGAGAAAAACGTAAAAATTATTTGGGCCTTACCAATATAGAAACATTATCAAGAGAAAAAACATGTAAAATAAATTGTAGTTTTATTACGGACATTATTATTTTAAATGTATAAGCTTAAATATACTCACAGTTATTTCTGTTTCATTATTGATAAAGTTCAGATCATAATTTGTGGGTTTAAGTGAATCTTCTTCTATTAATAATCCTATTTTTCCTTGAACAACTACTTCTTTGAATAATATTCTAAAATAAAAATACGAATACTTTAATAATTTTCCCACAAAAATAATATTTTATCTTATTTAAGTCCAAAGCCTAATCGGTTTTATAGGTGAATATGTTTATTATTTCGACAATCAATGTGTTCATTTTCAAAATTACTAACAAACTTCTGTTTTGATAATATTTAATATTTTCACAGTTCATAATTAATTTTACACTTATATTTTACATAATAAAAGATTAATTTAAAATGTCTGTACAAAATTAAAAAAAAAACATATCTCTATTTACTTTATATCTTTTTGATAAACTGAATTAGAAGCTATTTTACAATCACATCACATCAGTTTCTAAATGTAATAGAAAGAGGAGATAAAGTATAAAAAAATTAAAAAGGATTTTCAGATGGTGTAACGAGTTTTAAAAAAACCTTGTGATGTAGTGGGTTAGATTTGAACACTTGTGTGTATTCTTATTGCCGCAGCATAAGGATATGTTTATACTGAGTTGTTGCCAAGTTAAGTAACGTATTTTTTATTTGTGTGTATAATTTTTGTTTGTTTATTTTGAAAATAAATAAAACAAGGAAACTTGAAATATTATTAACAAAAATAAACTTTTTAATTTTGAATCGTCATGAGAAAATTGTTTGTAATCCTTTTATATAAATCAATAGTGTTTAAAATAATAATAAAAAATTTTTTAAAACATAATTAAAAAAAAATTCTAATTTTTATACTCAACACAACCTATAGGTATTATACGAGTTGTGGACAATAAGTTCGGGTCGATAAGTGTGTCTCAGTTTGTAGGTATAAGTTTTGCCAGCATTTGTTTAAAATTTGATCGGGTCACCAGGTGGGATTTGTCGTCTATTTTGTCTGCGTTTATAGATGATGCAAGATAGTTTAATCAATAACCATAGTCGGTACATAGTACATAGTATGTACCGATCGCGGCAAAGGCTACTTCTTTATACGGTGTGGATTACGTGATGTTCTTACATCTCGCCGCCGTTGGCTTACTTGGGCAGTATATAAGCTCAGGTTGTCTTTTGTTTTGGGTGTGTTCCACTACACCAACTTGCCCGACACTGATGAGACCCAATATAGGTCGAAACAGCAGTCTGTCGGTATTTAAAATTGGTGGAATGCACTCAAAAACAAAAGTTGTTTTAATATTACGTTCCTACACCCACAAACTTTACCTTATATATTAATATTATTAATTTTAGGGTTTTACAAATAAAAGCTCAGATATTTTTGATTTTTTATTTAAAAAAATGGAAACACTATCTTAGAATGTATTTTCTAAAGGGTGCTTTACTTAACACATTGCCTGCCGCTGGCTAAACGCTGACTACAAGCACGTTCAAAGCATTAGTATATCGTTATATCCCACCATCTCATTTTAAATGCTTATTAATTTTTTAGAAGGACCCGTTATAAAAGGCTATTTAAAAAAAATCTTAAATTTTAAATTAATTTAAAATAGCAAAGTATTAAACATATTTATATTTATAAAATGACACTGGTCAACAGCAATTTTGTTGCATGGTAAACATAAACTTTTCGAGGGTATCACAATTACCCACAATTTGCTTAACCAGATCTTGTTTTTGGGATATTATGGAGAACCCGTTTTCTCGTATATAGTTTTTTAATTAAACACTTTAACCGAGGATCATTGGTAATTTAACTATGCGTCCTAATTAAGTTATTTTTTTTAAACATGTTTTTACCCAAAATTTGACATTTTTTTAAAATTCTTAATTTCCTGAATTTGTAGCTTTTATTCTTTATAGTGTTAAAATGCAATCAAATAAAAATTTACACAATGCATTAAGTTTAATTTATTGTGTTAAAACGCAATTAAATATAAAAATATACAATGCATTTAGTTAGTTAGTATAAATATAAAAAACGCACTGGCAAATTTAACGCATACTATTATCGATTGGTGTTAACGTTAACGGTCATTTATGGTGTATACTATTTTTCTTCATACATCGGTCGAAAGTACTTACTTTCGTCCCTAATAGCAGGGACGAAAGTTTACCTCGGTCGAAAGTACATACTTTCGTCCCTAATAGCACACTGTTCAAAATTTTAGCTAATTTTTACCTAAAATATTAAACTATATAGGACCATTGATTTTTTAAGGCAAACTGCTTGAAATCAATTCAGAGGAATATTCTCCTTTTAAATTAGTGAATTCTTTAACTGATATTTTTAAAGAAAATGATATAATTAATTAAGCAAAATTACTTAGGTTTCAAAGATAATACACCTTAGATCGTAAGGGATATTGCCTGAGAATAAAAGAATAAATTTCCTGTTTCTAAGGCAATTTGCTTAAATTTTTAGGTAGATTTTAGCTAAGTTCAGGCAAATTATATATATTTTTAGTGAAAATCCTAGCATAGGAATTTTCTTCCAAGTTAGGACTCCTTAATCTTTGTGTCCTAGGCGAATTAACAACGGCGGTTCCGGTACTACATGTAGTACCGGAACCCTTTAAATAATCCCAACCCTGCAGGGATGGAATTATTTAAAAATATATTGGGGTCAATGGGAAATTCCATTTAGTTTGGATTACTGAACTATAGCACTACAAAATGTTCACTTATATCACAATAATTGTTAACTATGTTGTTATATCAATAGCACACAACGCGGTCTTTAAGCTTTCGTTGATTTTGGCGTTATGGTGGACAATATAGGCGCGAATATTTATCGTAAAACGTCGGTATTATCGATCGTAGCCGATTGCAAGTAAGTCACTAATATTTAAAGGAATTTACCTAAATTAGTTCAATAATTTGCCATAATAATTTACAAGAATTACCTAAATTAAAAGCAAAATTGTCGTACCTAAAAGTAATTGAGATTTTGACTAAATATTTAGGTAATCTGCCTATCTTTTTAAATTTGACAAGTTTATTAAGTAAAGTATGAATATTTATCTAGAAGTTAGTGAATACACCATAGAACTAAGGCATTCGTTTCTGCCTAATAAACGAGAAGGTAAATTGCTTTACTCGTTTAAGCATATTACCTTATTTTTCCTTAACTAATTCTGATTAGGTATTTCAAAAGGCTTGATTTTGAACAGTGCACAGGGAGTAAATGTTAAACTTTCGTCCCTGCTATTAGGGAAGAAAAATGTTTTTTTGCTCCTTTATACTTATTAATAGATTACAACCTATTGACAATTACCAGATCCTTATAATTATAGTTTAATAAGTTAAAGATTTTTAGATACAACGATTAAATTGGGTGCAGAAGACAGGATTCACTGCTTGTAAAGAAGAAATTTGTGTCTGAATTCTGAATAATAAATTAACTTAATGATATGCCTTCCAATAATTAGATGTTATTAATTTTATCTTTAATCTTTAAACTAAAATTTAAACTTTATTGTTGTAAAGACTCGTTACTAAACTTATGCATACATATGCCACTTAGGGCCGGTTTTTCAATTAGGGTTTAAACCTTGGTTCAGGAGAACAGCAGTTCTGTTGAACTTAGATCAGCGGTGTCAACGTTAATTTGGTACAACCGAATTTAGTATACGCCTACATTAATAGCAGTTAAAACTGTCATTTTGACAAAAGGATTTTGTGTTTACTTTTGGAGTTTTGTTTATCTGTTCTGTTTTAAAAAGTTCTAATCTGTGCGAAAGGGTGCTTTAAAACAATTTACTATTGTTAAAGAACAATAATTATTATTTATTATGGATAAAAATCGTGCTGCCAACTTTACCTCTTTTAAGGAGGAATTATTTGTATGTATGTTGTTTTATAGTATAAAATAAATTGGTCGTTTTTTGTTACATGTGATGAATTTTACTAAAATCTATTACCTATTCAGTAATTATTTTTATAACTAACCTATTGGTCGGATTTGCAATAACTGGTTTAATTAAATCCACTATCCTACGTAAAAGGTTTGGAAAACCGAAATCTGGCAAAAAATTCATCAATATTCCACCTTGCAAAATGATTCAGACTTACCCGTGGCCTGTGCACACAAAGTTGAATATTATTTATGAATTCGCCAATTTCCTCATCATCCTCACTAACTACCTCAAACATATCCATTGGTTTATTATAACAGCAGATCACAAAACAAGAAATAAACAACGTAATACACAATAAAGCAGAGAAAAATTAAGTTATATCAAGTTGAATTTCGTTTAAACGACCAACAGTGACGGTTCATCTTTTGATTTAGTTTAAACCAAATTCAAGCTTGAACTTTGATTAAAAAAAGGCATATTTTGTTTGAACAAGTTTAAATGCTGAACCAAGTTTAAACTATGATTGAAAAACCGGGCCTTAAAAACACTATGCATGCATATGCATTTAATACGCATGCATATTTATTTATTTTTTTAATTGTATATTTCACTGTATAATATTTTAACAAAACAGTTTTGTAACTGGTACCGCCAAACCATTTTATATTCCATATTGCTGTTTTTAATCATTCCAGTAACTCCTCATAATATTTATTTCTATTAAAGTATAATATGTATTAGGTTTGATAAACGCAATTTTAGTCACGAATTTAATTAAATGAGTGTCTAGTAAAGTTTATAAACGAGTTGCATTCTAAACTTGTTCTACGACAAATACTTAAAATATTATATATTTCTATAGAGCGACATCTATAAAAAAATTACTCTATTTTAATAATTTCTAACTTGTGAATCTGTATTACCGGCACGCCAGTGAAAATGTCAAATTTGTATGTGTAAATTTATCCCTTGAAAATGGACTAAAAACCGTTTAAATGATGATATAGAAGCTGTTTTTCACAGTGAAATTGAAGGGAAGTTTTAATGGGCACGTCACGAAGGAGTCTCAACCCGAAATGCTTAAACGCCATAAACTCATCAATGTGTGTTTAAAGGATCACTTAGTGTCATGGAAACATGTACGATAAAGGGCGTTTTAAAGGTGGGAGTAGAAAAAATACTATATTCTCCAACATTTTTATCCGTTTACAACAATTTTAACTTGACGACAAATGCAGCAAAGAAAAAACAGCCGGACTGTATGCATTATTAATGACTTACGCTATTTTACCGTTGTTGGAGACCGGTAGCAGCTTTTGCAGGGTAAAGTTGTTAGCTTCAAACTCGCCATCGATGCGCAACGCTCCCAGCTTAAAGCTGACATCCAGACACAGCATCGGCAGATTTGCCGACATGTAGTTGATACGGAAATCGGGAATCCATGGGAATTTCAGGTTGCGTAGCTCGCTGAAAAATATGAAAAAATATAGGATTTTATACTCTTTAAAAATGAATTAGTCAAAAATTACTAATTTAATAGTTATTAGAGGCTGCTTTTTCACTTTTACCATGATTAACTATGCCATGGCATCCCAAAATTTAACAGCCAATTTTTATGTAAAATTGTCCTCTGAATCCGAAAATGTCGTCACAAGTTAAAAAATTAGAACAGTTTTTGAGATATAGTCAATTTTCCATTTAATATGGAATCTATATCTCAAAAATTTTCATTCATAATAATTATTATGATTATAATTATAATTTTTGATGGTATTAGGATTCAGGGGACAATTTTACATAAAAATTGGCTGTTAAAATTTGGGATACCATGGTATTTCATGCTTAACCATGGTACAAGTGAAAAAGCAGCCACTAATAACTATTAAATTAGTCATTTTTGACTAATTCATTTTTAGAGAGTAAATAACTTTAAAATTTTATCCATACTTGGAAACGCAACCAAGAAGACGTAAATTTGTTATGTAATTTTTTGTTAAAAAAATTTATAGTAAGCGCCAAACCTGCCACCTATCTGCCTCGACATCAGCAATTTTTACCAAATTTGGAGGTATTCCAATATTTATCAAATTGAGTGACGCGTTTCGTATATACAGACCGTTAAAGTACAGTCAGGGTTTACAGTGGTTTAGTTTAATAATAAACTGATATCTTTCATAAATATTAGCCAATTAAAAAAAAACAAAAATGAATTTAAATTAAATTTTTATGGTGTAATCTTGTCCTACTCTTTTTTATATCTTTAAAAAATATATAACACCTTTTTTAAAAAAATACCATTTTTATTTTAATTTTTTTGAGTAGTTTTCAGATTAAAGTATCCCAAGTCGATTCCCACATAGCCTAGAATGGGATGCAATAAGCTATGACCTCCACAATGGTCAAAGTGTGGTCGTGTTATGACACGTATTTGACGTATTTGCTTGTGTTGAGTTCGGGAATATTTTTTGTTATTTTTTAATATTTTATTTCTTTGCTTTGGCTAATTAACTCAAAGGAGCTTTAAATAAACAAAAAAATAGGAATACATAGACCAATACCGTTTATGTCAGTATATTTAGGTTTTATTAAGTTTGAAGTTTAAAGAAAAAGGTTAACCTAAACATGGGTGACTGCTAAAATTGGGAAAAAGAACCTTCCAAGATAAATGTAGTCCCTTATTAAAACAAGACCCGGAAAAAGAAAGATAAATATAAATTGGTTCTGTGAAGCATGTGACAACACTCCTGGAAAGTAAAAGTGATGAAGAAGAACCAATCCTTGATAAAAAGCCTCACAAAATCACCCCTAGGAAAGCAAGTAAGAAGAATGAAATTAGTAACAACAATCTTTTGAAGGTTATGACGTAAAAAATTTCTACAAGAAACTAAAAAAAGAAATCGATAAACACAAATAAAAAGTGGAAAATCTACACAAAGAATTAATCAACATTAAATATGCATATAAATAAATAAGCCATGGCTTCAAATACCATTTGTTATACTTAATAATTGCACCCAGGCCGTCCCTATATTTATAAATTTTCCAATATATCTATGGTGAATTTGCAGTGCAAATAACATTCCATCCAGTTACCCGCCAGCTTTTGGTTCGCACATTACGTCACACGGTGCAAGATAGAGATAGCTGTAACATGCGCATCAGCATACCGGTTTTAGTGTATCGGGATTTTATAAAAAAAAAAATCTTTTATACAAGACAGACCGATCAAAAATTAACAAAACATGAAAATTAATTAACACTTAAAACAATTTATGGTCAGTTTTCTAATAGGCTAGTTAAATCCAGAGTTGAATAACTCTGGCTTATCTCTGACTTAAGTAAACTCCGAGCTTAGGTCGCGTTTGGGTTTTTCAATTACAATCATAGTGAGGATTTATCAACTACTTTTGTATAAAATTTCTAAGGTTGGTAATGCGTTGTCATGGTAACGGCTTCACGCCAACGTGCTTTTAACGCGGTTTTAACCATAAAGTTCGATTTTGTCCTCGGTGAGAAGCGCATCGCTCGTGCATTGCTCCATGAAAAGTGTGAAATATAGTTGACTTTGACTCAGGGAGGACAAAATCGGATTCCAGTCCTAGATAATATTCCTTGTTTTGTCCTTTTTTAAAGGAATAGAGGAATTTATATAAACATTGAAATTTCAAGGTTACTTAACCTATTTGTGTCCACGTGTTCGTTAGTCAATCGTTGTCCAATGGTTTTTGGTTCTTCGGAAATCATTGGACGTTAAAACTAGTAACTGGGCAGTAAGAGCCTAATCGGCTCAAGTCCAATTCTCTCGAAAGAGAGAATAAAAAGTATAGAAGAAGAAGAAGAACCATAAAAAAAAAGAATGTCACGAAGGTAGTGTGATCATTATTATAAAATTATTAAATTTATTGATTATAATTTTAAGATTACTGTGAGTTTATTTTTTGCTTTAGTGGAAAATGTGCTGCAATTTGAAGGCAGTGATGTTGTGTAATAAAACTGCTATATGTGATACCTACTGAACCGCTCAAAAAAGGCTCGATCTACAACTTTTTCTTCGGCTAAAAAGAAAGTAAAATGCATGAAAATTAGGAAATCGCAAGAAAGCCATGGGTACTATACAGCGGTTGACGGGGCGCAAACCTGTCCGGCTAAACGAACAGCTAATTCAATACAAAATTTTGTTTTGTTAAACTACAGAAAGAAAATTGTTTGAAAATGAAAGTGTTGCGGCTTGATTATAAAATTTAAAGAACCCGTGGCGCAAAACCGCAGGGTAAGCAACAATTGGTTTTCGGCGGATAAAGCGTCATTTCTACAACGAACAAAATTAAAATATGAGATTTAGAAGGACCCAATAAGCTGAGAGCCGTCTTGCAAAACTTTTTGCTAAATAAACTTTTCACCTGTTTGTAGGGTATTGAACAATTTCTTCTAAAATAGTTTCTACCATTCTGGGAGACAACCGAAATCTGGTGAGAAAATCAATATTGTCCCACATTTCAAAATGATTTATTCTTGGACAAATAACTTTTTGTCTTCTAAAGTCCTCTTCGTCATTACTATAGGCATTTACATCATAGTCCCACATTATCACTTTACACAACACTCACAACAGAACGATATATAACCTCTTTTTATTTTAATTCTTACTTAATTCATACCGTTTCTGGGAATTAAAGTAACTTTAATATAAACTCGGAGATCAAAATGAATTGAAAAACGCAAATATAGTTAAATTCAAATTTAACTCGGGGTGTGAAGTTAAACCTCGGATAAATCACATTGAAAAACTGGCCCTTAGGGGTCTAAGATCAACTAAAGCAAACTCCAATATTTTGTATTAGCAAATTTTTTCCCATTTATAATTTAATTAAATTGAACAATTAATTTTCTTGAAAATACGAGTCCAGTTGAAATGAAAATATCATACCTTGTATTAATAATATAATATTATTGCCAATATTACCAACTTTATATCTTGTTTTCAAGGGAATTCTTTAATATCGTATTTTAGTTTCTGAAATTGTTACTTAAATGACTGGGTTGAATATTAGAGCCCTGAATTGTTTAAAATTTTAAAAAACATGTAAATAAAAAATATGGATTATAACAAAATATTAAAAACCAATTAAATAAAGTGATACTAAATTGTACTTTTATTTTATTTATTTTACCTTTTCCAAAAATTAATACCTACATAAATAAGTATTTTTCATGAAAGTAAATATAAATATATATTAGCGTATACGCTCAAAAACTAACAAAACATAAAAGAATGCAAAAATATATACCTATTATAGTATATGTGGTATTAGAACACCCTAATAGGGTGTCCGTTGTTTACCAGGTTGATTTTTTGTCAAATAGCGCCCCCTAAATTTTTAATTCATATCCTAAAAAAAATATAAAACCAAATAAAATCTTAATATTAATATTAAACCTTGCGGAAAACACGATACATTTTCCCTTTAAATAACATGGAATTTTTTTACTTTTTATATTTATTTTTTTCTCTTCAACAGATAAATATACAGCAATATCCAATACATATTTCTTAATAATATTGATCTTACAAACCACAAAACAGATTACAGATGAAAACTTTGCCACCTTTTTAAAAAATTTGAGGTAAGGTTTTTAGGACGTTCAACTCCGTGTGCAGTATTATGCATTTGCATTGTTTCAACTTTGGTTTGACATTTGACGTCGTCGAACACCGTCCCATTATATTAGGCCTTTAAGGTCAAGCCGCGCTGCGATACATATGGTCATGGCTGTCGGATTTCGACAAAAAATATTTTTTCTCAGCCTTTTTAATAATGAAATGTTTTTAACTTATTATAATGATTCAGATATTTTTAGTGTGAATTCTGCTTTATTGTGAGTGTAAAAATGGCAGCCTACATAATATTATCTACAAGGGTCGGACATCTTAATTGCGCAAAATAGTTTTCTAAATATGGGACATAAATACAAGGGTGTCCCACTTTTACTTATGTATGATTTTTTTAAACGCTGAAGTGGAATTAAGTGTGTTTTTACTAGAAAAGTAACTATGAATTGAATTAAAGGTCAATAAATTACTTATCAGATATTCTTTTTAAGAAATCTAAATAAATTATTATTTAGGATGAAACTTAATATATTTAAAAATGGGCCCAAAACATAAAAGTTGCATCTGGAAATATTATGAAAAAAATTCTGATGGCTGCTACCGGATGATTATTAAGAAAACAAAAAACGTCTGGAAATACATTAAATTTAATAGAGCATATAAATAGTATGCATGAAAGCATTTTCAAAGAAAATGAGCCACTAAAAAACGACAAAAAAGATTTTGTATCATCATCATCATCTACACTCTGTGGTTCTCTGAGAACTCCTATCTTTAAATACCAATTTCTAATCAGTAAAACCTGCAGAAAATAAAGCAATCAAACTTAGTGGACAAACGCATCCCATTCAGCAAATGCAAATTAATAAATACTTTGAAGAAATTGAGTTATTTTTAAGCACTGGTGCCAAGGCAGCAAAAATTACAAATGCTACCTGTTCTTTTCATGATATTATCAGTATTATTGGCCCATAAGAATTGTTAAGAATAAAGGTTTCAAGGAATGTTTTATAATCCTCATTATAAAATTCTTCATTGATCTTTAATTACCCGTTTATTGGATTCTTAATATAATGTTCTTTCAAGAGTAGTAAAAGATAAGCTTGCAAGTGTAAAAAAGTAACCAATACAACTGATATTTTTACTTCTGGGGTAGCAAAATACTGGGTTAGAAAATTCTTGGGGGCAACTTGCAACCCCCGAATTAGGCCACTAACTGTAGACTCAAGTCAAATTCATAATCCTAATTTGTATACCTACTTATATATGCCTATAAGAAAAATTACATACACAGGGTGAATTCAGGGAATTTGATTTTATACCAAATTTAAATAATTGTTTATATCCTAGTTAATTCAGGTAATTATAGATTTGACCTAATTTAAATAAATATTATGGTTTATTTCTTGGTTAAACATCAGTTATATATTTGTGTATTTATTGTTTATGTTTATTATATCTCGGTTTGTTTTGTGTGTCAAAAATGGCATCTTCTTCAAAAGTAAATGTAAAAGAAAGGTTTATCACAGGTTTATAAACTAATAGGTATTTCTTACTATAAAAATAAGTGTATTAACTCTCTTAAAATGAATTAGTCAAAAATAACTAATTATAGGTAAATCATATTTGACTAATTGTCATAGCGAAAAAGCAGTCACTAATAATGAGTCAAATTTTACTGAATGAAATATTCAAATTAGGAGATTTAAATTTAAAAAAGTTTTGACCTAGCCGGGGATTGAACTAAGTTTTGTCGTTTGTCAAGCTTGTCAAGCTGTTGTCATAACGAATGTGGCTATCAGTCACTCTTATAAAAATCAATTTTATTTGTCCATAAATATTGTTTATAATATTTTTAAGTTGAGTATATTATTTGTGTTGCTGTTTTCAACTATACTTTTTGCATCTTTATTTGATTTTATGGGCTATTTAACCATGGAGCCTATATGCATTTAATTCAAATAATACTTTGTTGTTGGCCGCAAACGATTAAAGAAATTAGTTACTTTTAACTCTCAGAAATAGTCAAAAATGGTGAATTATCTTAAATTAGTCAAACTTTAACTATTTACGTAGTAAAAAAAGTGAAAACGACTATTTTTTTAGTAAAACTAATTCAAATAGAAGAAGACGTAAGGCTGGACCCATCGGCCTTACACTGATCTACCATAGTTATTTTTACCATTTTCCAGTTCTCATACGTATCCTGCACAGCATTACCTGTGTTTGATGTATCCGAATTTTAACCCCGGATGGTAAATTTCTATTAAGAAGTCGTGGATGACAGTTTTGATAGTTAAGGCCCTTTTTTGACTAATTCATTTTTAGAGAGTAATTTTTCCTTCGAATAAATATTAAAATTATACATATTTTATGTAAATTTGTTTGGAAATAAATCAAGTTATTGACTTACATTTTAGTTTCTCCCAATGACATAAATGTGTTATCGATTTTGTGTACGTAGGTTTTTCTTTTGTGGTGATTTCGAACTGCTTCATTTCTAAAAGCCTAAAAACAATTTAAATTAAAAAATAGATAACATAAACTTTAGCATAAAATTAATTATAATAATAATATTTATTAATTGCAAGAGTACATATATTTAAAAATTACAAAATATAAAAAGTATCTATAAAAAATTACATAAATATGGTACATAAATAGACACAAAATTGCCACAATGCGCATTTGTACGTGCAATAAAACTATAAACGAAAACTGATCTTAGGATTATGTATACATTTCTAGTAAACGTCTGCAAATATATATAAAAAATCGTAATAATAAATAAAATAATTATAATAAAATTTATTATAAATCTAGTACAGAAGCAAAAATAAAGCCGTATGATTGATTTATCCTAGTAAACAATATATTGTATATTGTTTACTAGGATAAATCAATCATACGGCTTTATTTTTGCTTCTGTACTAGATTTATATTAAATTTTATTATTTATATTAAATTTTATATACATAATAATATAATAAATAATAATAATAATAAATATACAACAGGTAAGTACCTATTTAAAGTTAAAATATATTTTTTAATTGAATACATTGTAATTGTATATAGGTAATGGGTAAGTTTTAGTTATTCTTTAAATCAATTTGCCGAGTCACAGTAATTTTAGGTAAAGTATTAAGTACATCTTAGCCCTATGTTTTTTTTTGACTTGCAACTGAGTTTGTTGTCTTGTAATTAAATTTTTTATCTCAGAGTGTAGGGTCAGGTAATATAGGTCTCTGCAGTCTAGTTTTTTTGATAATTTATACATAAATAAATTATCTAGGGAGTAAGTTTTGTTCTTTGTTATAAATATTCTTTAAATATATTTTTGCGTTACTTCCATTCCAGTTCTAAATTTAATGAGTCCTGTAAGCAAACATTTAAAAAACAAAACTTACTTAGGCTACCAGATATTTATATATATGAAACTTTAATTTTTTACAAAAAAAACTTTAAAGGAATTTAAACCTTCTTTAAAAGCATACCTTGTAAACAGATGTGATTATTGTGTTGATGATTTTTTAAGTTAAGAGAATTTCTTGTATTTGTTTATATTTAGTTTTTAATAATATTTATGTATTGTTTTTTGACGTGTTCAACATTGTAAACCCTGCAATATTTTAAACTAATAGAATCTATTCTATTCTATTCTGAATAGTGGTCTATTTCAATAATTAAATAATATCGACTTAAAATTTAGTTAAGTAGTATATTCTTAAAATGTATGTATGGATATTATTACATGTATATACATATTACAATACATTTGTGTATATTATTACATGCATCGAACAACAGGACAACATTGTAAGTAATATGTTGTGCTAAGCAAACATGTGCTAACCTATATTATTAACCCTAACCGTGGTAACACTTTTTTTCTTTTTCTTAGCACAAACATGTGCACGTTGTCAATTATTTAAATGCAAATTTAAACAAATAATCAAATAACATAAGAACACATACAAAAAATCGTTACCAAATGTGTTATCTAGTTGAACACCAATAAATTGAATTTTATTCTATTTATGTTTATTTTACAAACACAGCAAGTTCCACTGACTTGGCCAACATATTGTGCGATAAGCTAAAGTAATATTTACTTACGCGGTTCAAGTTTTCTTCGAAATTCGGCGTTATATCCCTGAGTAGCGTCTTGAAATCACTGGACAGCTCGGCTGTAAACATTTTTAACTTTATAATTGGGCACTTTAAACACGAAAAATAAGTAAAAACTAGGAATAAGGTACAAAAGTATAAAACATTTAAATATATGTATTATGGTGATAATAATACGTAATGTAAAATAAACACAAAATAGATTAGATAAACGAAACAGTGTAATTTTAGTTTGTATTTTTGTTAACAAATGCTTTTATTATACATATATTTATGTATAAAAAATATGTATTTTGGTGTGTCTGTCCAATAAATAAATAAAACAATATTTAATTTGCTCTAAAAAATTACTATAGTGGTATATATTAAATCTAGTAAACTAATTTAGCCAGTCTCTATTTCCTAAACTGCTTGAAATATTTAAGTGTGACAGAAACTACATCAGGTAGCTTTAAAATGTTAATAAAAATGGTTGTTTATGTGACAAGGCTAAATAAGTGAGTCTTTTTGTGTGTGAGCCCAAAGTTTGAGCGAACCACAAAAAGACACGTCTCAGCCAAATGGCCTTTGATCTTCAAGGCACAGTTTTATTTGTTAAACGATACATAAAACTTATATTACGTATATTATAATAACAATTATTAAAAGTAGGTATAAAGTAAAGGTTAAATAGCCTTATAATTGTCAGCAGTTATCGAATTTATTTATGAAAACAATTTGACGATGATAATGATTAATAAATTTTAAAATTCTAGTTTTAATTTTTTTAATACTTTAGCCATACCCATTGCTAATTAAAGAAATAGTAACATTTTAAACAATTGGAATTTATAAACAAAAAAAGTAATTTATTAGGAGGATATAGATTTAATTTATTAAAAAAAAAATCCTAATAGTGAAAATTTTTAATTTAAACTTAATTTTTAATTAAAATTAATTAATATCTAGTTTAAAAAATAGTTCTAAGCAAAAATAAATCATATTAATCAGTAATGTTCAATTAAATAAGTGCATACTTCATTCCATAATCATAGACAAATAATTTTAAATTAAAAAATTATATATTTTTGAAAATTAATATCTAATATTGATTATAAAATTAAAAGTATATAATTATTATAATATTAGAAATAGTAATATTTTAAACAATTACAATTTATAAACAAAGAAAGTAATTTTAGGAGGGTATAAATTTTTATTATTTTAAAAACATTCTCAATATTGCAAATTGTTAATTTAAACTTAATTTTTTATTAAAATTATTCAAAACATACACAGAGAAAAATCCGTTTAAAAAATTGCAACCTGCCATTGGAGCATACTTTTCTATAAATGTGCTACGTTATCCAAGATAGTAATGTTAAAGTCAATTTTCTTTAATTTGTAAGTAATTTCAAAACCTATTTTTTTATTAATATCTATTAAATATTCACTGAACATAAAAAATAAATATATTTTAAATAATATTAATTGAATATTTACTATATATTTAAAAGCAAATATTTCCAAAATAATATTAGCTGAGTATTATTTATTATATCCATTAAATAATATGAAAACCTATATTTTTATAGGTAATTACAATATTTATATAATATTAAACAGTATTCAAAATTAATGATTTGAAATATTATCTAGAATCGATATTTAATAAATATCTCTAAAAAATATATGAACCTGTTTTATAATTAAAATATTTACTAAATTAATAAATATTACAAAAAAAATAATATTTAATTAATAATTTATATAAGTAATAAATGATATTTGCATATTTACCGAGTAGGCGATTTGAAACGACACCCATTTAACTAACTAACTTATTTAATACTGCAGTGTTAACACAATTGTAATATAATTTTCCTTTAAAAAAGAGGCAAATAATTATACATACCATTATCGATAATTAACATAATTTAATCCCCTTGCTTTAGACAGTTTTCCAACTAACATTCTTTTTAAAAAAATCTGATTTATAGATTCCTTTACTCTGATTTATATATATAATCTATAGATAGATTCCTTCCTCCCGCCTGACCGTAAAACATAAACAACACAGAAGCCGTTGTGGCATTTACAAATTGACGGCGTTATTTTATAAATTTAACTACGGCTTACGTATTGTTTATGCAATATTACTTAGAGTTATTGCATCTTTCTTATATTTAATAAATATTATTTTTAAATATTAATGTAACATTTATCAGTAATATGCATGTGAAATTATTTTTATATATTAAATACATATGTACACTTCAAATATACATTAAATCTTAAAAATCTGTCGTTTTCTATATTACATAAATATTTTTTTTTAATATTTAACTAATATTTGGTGCTACTGGGGTAACATTTTATATTTCAAGATAAGGTGTACCCATTTAGGTACGCTGGGACCAAATAATAAAATAATAATTAAAAAATTATATTATCCTACATATTTATTTACCGACTGCAACGTTTATTGAACATAGTATACGAGGTGTGATCAGAAAATAACGGGAATTGTTAAATTTCGCGGCTTCGGAGGGTCCGGTTGTCATAAAATTTTCTTTATTATGTTTGTATACATGTCCCCGAAGAATAATAAAAACTTTAGCTGTTTTCATTGTTTACTTTGTCTGTGGCAGCCGCTAAGGTTAGACGTGTTTTATGAGCTCGGCGATTTTCGTTCGGTAAAAGAAATGGATCAAAGAGAATTTGTATCCAATTTTGCTATATAGTGAGTCTGCTATAAGTAAAACAAGAGTTTACAAGTGATATAAGAGTTTCCAAGATGGCCGTGAAGACGTTGAAGATGACGAACGCCCCGAACGCACAAGCACGTTAACAACCGATAAAAATATGGTAAAAGTCCCATGAAATTTTTTCAAATGTTTTGGGTATGAAACGCGTTGCAGCAAAATTTGTTCCAAAATTGTTAAATTTTGAACAAAATTTTTGGCCAAAAACAATACTGTAATGATGCCCCAGCCTCCATATTCGCCAGAAATGCCTCTGTCTGACTTTTTCTTATTCCCAAAAATAAAAAGAACTTTAAAGGGCCGTCGTTTTGCAAGCATAGATGACATTAAAAGCGCATCGCTGAAAGAACTAAAGGCTATCTCAAAGATCGAGTTTTAGAAGTGTTTCGAGTATTGGAAGAAGAGCTGGCACATGTGCATAATATCCAATGGGGACTATTTTGAAGGCGACAACATTAATGTAGACGAATAAATAAATATTTGTTTCAAAAAACGATATTTTCTTAACACACCTCGTACGTAAATACAAATCATTTAAGGTTGAGCATTCCCTCTGTTCAGTGCATAGTGTTCCGCACACTTTTCACACATTCACCTAACCCTCATGTGACATTGGCGACATCTTCGTGGATTGTTGATTTTTTTAGGAAAGTGTTCCACAGGATCATTTAGGATACTTCTTGGTAATGAAACAGATGGTTTAGTTGAGGCTAGCCTTCTTTGAATGGCTTTTGTGTACGATCGAAGTTAATGCCGAGTAATGCTTCTTTGAAACAATAGCAGGTCCATTTTATCATCGTTGTTGGCTATTCTATAGAGTTTCCACGCATTCACAACTACAACATTTACCACATGAGTCAAGAGTACCCACCACCATTTTTTTCCATGAATGCCAATTCTATAATTGTTTACCCCTTGATCAAGTAGGTTTACCCCACCCATCGACAAATTATAGAACTGGAAAAGCTTGGGCTGGGGCACACCTACTTTAATCCTTCTGTATTGCAGACCAACGCTTTACTTGTGCAAGGGGTTCAATTGAATCCTAATTTGTGGCCATGGTAACAGCGCTATTATCATTCCATCATTCCAGCATTTTTTTATACGATTATAACGAACTGTTCCTGTAGCTCTAATTTTTTTCTGCTTCAGAGTATTTAAAAGTTCATGACTTGCAAAATAAATATGAATGATCAGTTGGAGTTTCAACAATGTTTAGAAGGTCCAAAACCACTTGCGAACCCAGAGGAAGTGTGGATTTTTTTGGAGGCACTTCTTGTTCTTGGGCAGGTATCGAATGCGTAACATTAACCAGTGGAACTACACAACATCCAATCCTTGTAACCAAAGCGAATGGGCTTTGTTTTGATAAACTGTTTAGCAGAATGGTGCCCAAAATATTTAACCATTGATTCATCAATTGAAAGAGACTCATGGGAAATATCCCACTGTTGAAAGTTTTTGTTTAGTAATGCCATTAGGGGACGTAGCTTGTAGGTACATTTTATCACTTTTTATTTATTGTTGTCCGCTAGATGTAAATATTTTTTGATCTCTGTGAATCTATTTCTGCTCATGGCATTTGTAATAAACGGTACACAAATCTTCATCTAAATTCCAATAGGGACGTTCACGAGGTAAGTTGTGATAGCCGGTAAAGAGAAGAATTCCAACAAAAATTTTGATTTCATCTTTTGTGACGTTGAAATTGTGATTATTTGAGGCTGTTGTGTACATATTAGTTTGGGTAACAATATGCTGCGCAACTTCGTCGTCAAAAAGTTTTTCAAAAATTTGTACTGTTGTTAGACCTGACAGCTCTGGTTGTACGTGCCTGACTTCCGTTGGTGCCATTCATTTATTTTTCGGCGACCCCACTTTGGTCAGTTGGGATCCTTTTCCTTCCTTTTTTGATGGTTTCTTGTTGGATTTTTTTTTGATAGTTTTGTCCTCTGATTTTGAGTTTTCTGTAATTTCAGCCGCTTTGATAATGGCATGTAATCCACGGTTTCAGACTCAGCAGTCTCAGGGTAATCTTCATCCCCATTATCTTGATGCTTATTTACCTACCAAGTCGTCATCGTCAAACTCTTCCTCGTCAGTTTGGTAATCGACACCTGGTGGAATTATTACCAAGTCTATTTCCGAACTGTTGGAAGTTTTTGCATTTTCCATTTCATCTATTGCAGCTTCAAGCGTCTCAAACCTTCTTCAAATCTGTAACATGAAAGTAATTTGGTTTTGTACTCTTTATCGCCCACTGTACCCATGCAAGTACAGGTAAGTTTAACTAAACAGCACAGAGGTATTTATAAATTCTGGTAAGACAACATGTAGACGATGTTTTTACACATATAACAAAACGTATTCAAGGCCAGCCGTACATAAAACTCATTTGCAATACCCGGTATTGATAAAAATTAGCACTTACCTCATATAACCTCAAAAACGTAGGTGCACGTGTTACTATTAAATTCTGTCGATCATTTTTCGGAGTACACAAGCAGGTACAGTGGTCGATAAATTTTTTCTGTTTTGTAAATTCCATGCATGTCAAAATTAAATAATTTTAAATGTCAAAATTTGCTTTTCACATTTTTAGTATTTTTTGCAGTCACGTTGTGTTGGACGAAAAATACCGCGTAAACCACGGCGGTAAAGTGATTTTTCAGCCTGAAAAAATGTCATTTTACCGCATAGGTCTACAATATATTATTATCTTTAACCGTTCTATAATTTAAGCTTTTTATTGTCAACGCTCACCAAATAAAAGTATTCGGTTATCTTTATCTAGGCTGTAAAAAAAATAATTAGGTGAAGTTTTTTCCTATCCCCATCCCGTTAGGACCAACAAAAAATTCTATCCAAGCTCACTTTATATTTTTAATAATTATTACTGTAATTTTAAGTAGGTTTTACGTATCGTTTAACCAATAAAACTGCGCTTTTAAGGCAAAATGTTGTATGCCATTTGTCTAAGAAGATTTTTGTGTATCGCTTAATTGTTAACGCGTCGGACTTCAAACTTTGAGATTAGCACAATAAGATTCACTTCTCAACCTTATGACGTTAATAACTATTAAGTTCTGTAATCAAAAAACTGTTATTTTGACACTTGATAAATATAATGTAAAAGTTAACCTTTAATGATAGTTTAAAAAAATACGTTTAAGCGATAAGCAATCACTTTAGTAGTGAGTGTTGACAATAATATTTATTTAATATAATTTATTTAAACGCCATTAAACGCCATTTTAGTTACGAGCACAACTTGCCAGGGTCCTATTATTTGGTATCCGCAATTTTTTTCGAATGGAAATTTGTTCAAAAGAAATTTGTTCAAACGGAAATTAACATGCAATACCATCAGGTGAAACAGTCATCAAAGAAAATAACTTGAATAATCATTCAAGAGATGCAGCAGGTATTGAGGCCAGGATTGTATATGGATCCATGATGCAAGAAGCAGAAACCGGCCGTGATCCTCCTCATTATATTATTTCTAATATTTCCACTCAATTAAGTCAAGCCGCTGCTACTCAACTACCTAGTGTTGAAACAATAAAAAGAACGATACTAAATAAGGAACAAGATAGAAGCTGGCCCTGTTACTCCAAGACACCGAGCCGATGTTAATTTTCCAGACGAAAACAAGCAGTGGTGAAAACTTTATGTTGTGCGATTCTAAGGGGGTGTTTTTACATTTCTGTCAATGTATAATATACATTGTATATACAAATAAAACAAATTCAATTTTTAGGACTTAAGCAAACCTATGATGCAAAATTTGCATTAAAAATGAGGATGTTAACAGCACTGGCATTTGTCCTTACTTCGCAAGTGGAGACAACCTTTGAAATGCTTCAAGACAACGAAGTAATGACAATGGAAGCCCAGCAGGTTGTTGATTACTTCGAGGACAATTGGATTGGACGTACGCTTCGCCGCCAACAACGCCGTGCACCGCGATTTCCGATTGCGTTGTGGAATTACTTCCAGTCTGTAACCGAAAATCTCCCTAAGAAAAAGCAATGCTCTGGAAGACTTCTAAATGTTATAAATAATTATGACCCTCAAGGCGATACCTAGCATATTATAAGGTTGATAAAAAATTTGGTTGATAAAAAATATTTTTCTCTTGATATTTTGTCTTTCTTTCGGACAAATTTCCGTCCGAACAAATTTTTATTCGGATTCGAATAAATTTCTGAGTATGAGTATGGGGATGTATGGCCTTACACTAATCTTCCAGGTTGTATACGTATCCCGCAACTACACCATGAGAACCAGTAAAAAGATATTGAACTTAGAAATTTTTTGCATTTAACATTGAGGCTTATATAAAATCACAGTTTTTATTTCATTTTAGTACCGTTTAGTACCGTTTAGATTCCATTCAAGATTAAGAAAATGAGAGAAAATAATATATAAAACATTTAATACACATAATTACTGCATGTGGTAGTAATAATTGATAAATAACTGCCAAAAATGCTCTCTATTCCTCTATTTCTTAATATTTACCACCTACTTCTACCTGAATTAACTAAGACATTTTTCCATCTATCTTATGAATTAAATGACGAAGAGGAAGTTTATTACAGTGCAACAGGCATATAAACCAATGGACCGGTTTTCCTAGAAAAACTTCTAATTGTTTTATAACACCATTTTTTAAGCCTGTATTTACTATCGTACCGTCACAACCCACAACTGCCGCAAATTTGTTTAAATTTTTTACCTAAATACTCTTGAATGAAGTTAAAAGGGCTTGTCTTAACACTTCCCCAAGTAGGGGTCACATAACCTAAATAAGTAGAACCTGGTTCTGCAATAAGAACTATGTGTTCCTCAATAATTTGCTTACTGTGATAAGAAGATCCAATTTTTTCAACTAAGAGCGTCTTGTCTTTTCCTCTGTCGAAGTAGATTACAGAAACTTATTTTTGTTGCCGAATTTTCATATTAACCAAATTTTCCCTTGTTTCCTCTTCTTATTTTACTTATGTCGATGAATAAAGAAGGATTCTCGTCACTTACTAGTAAAGCAGGAGAGACGCATTTCTATCTGAGAGTCCACTTCTGTCACATTAGATAAAAGCAGTCTTTTTTCGAAAGGCACTAGAAGACGTTGATTCTAGTGACATATCGATAGCATCCATTTGGTATTTTTTTTCTATAATTTTACTTTGAACAATATGTTCTGTATTTGTGTCTTTAATTTTTTCTTCAAATCTCTTTTTCTCCAACTCCTTCCTTTCCAATGACTTTGCCATTTTCTTAGTAGTTTTAGTATCGATATTTCCGATCATCATCTTTCTTTCACCCCTCTGTTCTTTTAAATATGCTCCTTTCATTATAGGAACTTTGATTTTACACCCTCACGAATAAAAAGTGAAACATTTACACGGAGAAATTTTTTCAAGCAGTTTATTTTTCTTATTCACCTTATACTTTTCACTGTTGTCTTTTATTATCTGAATTATTCTTTGGTCTGAAATAATAGGAAGGAAAGTTTTTTTCCAAACAAGAACTTTTTTACAAATGTCCAAAACATTTTAAAAATTTTACGATACCACAATTACAAACTTATAACATCGGAATCCGTTGGAAGGACGTTGCCACAAAGTTCCTCCCCAAATATTTTACATTTTACTCGGGTTTTAGTAATATTTAACACATCTAACGCAATTAGGCTCGGCGGTTAAACTAATTTGGTAAAGCACTAAAGCCCTCCTGCCTTTCCCCACCACACCAAAATAACTAGTTACGACTTGTTTCGACACGAGAAAAACTTAGTTATTAGTGTAATTTTAGTTATTTATTTAATCTAAGTTTGGTTTTAGAGTTTAAACATAATTAAATTAAAAAAGAAACCTGAAGTTTTTTTTACCCAAAACTGATTTTTTGTGTGTTAATTTAAACTTAAATATGTAACTATTGGGCACCCAAAGATATAAGAAATTAAAAAAAACGTTAATTTTAAAAAGTGTAAAAATTTGTGTTTTTTATTAAAGTCTTTAAATTTTACATTCAAAAAGGAACCTCAAGATGTCATCGCACAATGCCAATTTTTTTAAGTTAAATATAACCTAAAAAGACAACTAATCCACAACAGGGATAATATATTTCGAAAAATTGTTTTTATCGCTGCGCCCTAATGCACATACATGAAGTAAGTATACTTATTCTGTGCCATGCAGTGCACGATATAGAGCTGATAATAAACTAGTAGCTTTGTACCGTTAAAGTATTTACTCTCTAAAAATGTTGTAGTCAAAAATGACTAATTACTACAGTTATTAGTGGCTGCTTTTTCACTTATACCATGGTTAACCATGGGATACATAATTTTCGGATTCAGGGAGCAATTTTACATGGAAAATGACTGCTAAATATTCGGAATAGAAATTGCAATTGACGAGAATTACAAGTGGCTGCTTTTTCGCTATGACAATTAGTCATTTTTGACTAATTCATTTTTAGAGAGTATATATATTTATATTTTGACTTGATAAAACCTAAACAGTTTAGTTAGGGCCCCAGTTTTTTTTGCACCAGGGCCTTTAGTTACCTTGATGCGCCTCTGGGTATACTCGTAGAATCGGTGAAAATGCACCCCGTATATGGGAAAAAATAAAAAATGTTTATGTAGAAAATTTTATGTCATAAAAAGAAATTTGATTTTTTTGAACTAGGGAACAATATAATTTGGAATAGTTAAAAAATTAAAAATGGGTTAATATATAACAAATTTAATTTTTATAGTGCCGGCTTAAAGTGATATGACTTGTATACTTAAAATTACAAAAGTTATTGAGCATTAGAAGCAAGTTTTATTTGGCGCCACCCTGTATTTAATAATAATAATAACAATAATTAAAAATAAAAAAAGAAATTGTTAGGAACCAAATTTTTTAAATTTGTTTTATATATAATAATACTAGTTGTTAAATAGTAAAAAAATCAAACAAAAATAAACCTATCTTACTCTTTTATACTATCTATATGATACCTAAAAGACAAACAAACACATTTTCGCAAATATATGTCAGGATTTATTAACACACCTTAACACATTCTAATATTATTAAATACCTAAATTTTAATAAAAGGTATAAAAAGAAACATTCACCTATTTCACCAAAAGAAACAACTAAAAGCACAACTAAACACAACTTGTTCTTCATAGTTATATAAAAAAATAAAAATAAGCAATACATTTTTTGAAAGATATAAATAAAGGTTAAATTAAGTTCATGGCGTAATTTGTTATTTATTTTTAAGATAATTTGATAAAATTTAACAACAAAACCATTTATTTATACAGCTATTATTATTTTTTTAAATCCTGTGGTATTTTTTAATAATGTACATAATTATACAGTACTTATGTATTTGTAATTTTAATATGAACTAATCACTTTAAAACTTTCATTTATAGGATTTCGTAAAAGGCAAAACAGATTATCCAGGTCACGAACTCTAGACATGACTATTATTTGTTTTCTGTCAACTCAAAGCAAAAACTTGAACTTGTTGCTGAATGTGAAGAGAAATAAATAAATAACAATTTTCGCACGTCTGTAGACTTAAATAAAAGTTTTTGCATTTAGGGTGTATAAACCGAAGGATGGTTCCAATTTAGGTAATGTTACAAAATCTTCGATATGTCTAAATACCCCTTATAAACTTTTTTGTATAGCTGTATCAAAAAACACATTTATATAAATTACAATTATCCAATATTGCGCTTCAAATTATACAAATTGTATTTCTAAAACGATTTTTATAAAAAAAATTATTAATTAAAATAGTTCCTATTAAAAGTCCATTAATAACTTTGAGTTAACTAATTCTATAATTTTTTAATTATACAATTTGTTGTGTCAATTTACTTGCTAAACTGAAAGATCAAAGCAGCTTTGCGTTGCTTCAGCATAGCACATAAAGGTTATTTAATGTATAACATTAGTAATATCAAAAAGATTATTACTTTTGTAAAGGACGCTAGTAACATATTTCCTTAATAATTAAAAAAACTATTTGCGACTAATGTTGGTTGTTGGTGACCATCTTCACGCAAACTACATATAACAAAGATAACCCTAAAATATAAAATTGTTTTTTTTTAAATGCAAGGTTAGGTCTTAACAAATTAATTTTTTATACTGGTAAAATATATCAGCTGTTAAAGAGCGGTGTCACAAATACGGGGGTACAAGAATACACAAACATCTTAAAGACAAAAAAACTCAAACTTCGGTAGATATCCCCACGTCACTGGACCCACGTTCAAAGAAAAATTCTGCACAACCAAAAAAAAAAAAATACAAAACCCACCTTGCTAGAAGCCATGGAAATCCATATCGCTTTTTAAACCCAAAAAATTTTTTTTAAGCCAGAACTGTAGGTAAGAAAGTTGTTTATCATAAATAAACCCACAAAATTTATATACAGTTTTTTTTTCCTGCGATAGACCGTCAGCCTTCCGAATTTTCTCAATTAGCTACTGTTGCTGCTCTGCTACGAGTTAGACGTGGAGCAAAAACCGACAACGCAAAACAGATCCCGAAAAACCACTAATACATATAACGCCCTTGAAAACCTAAAGCACAAACCTCAATGGTTTGGGAATTCTGAGACAAAAACTCGCTCAGGAAAAAAAAATCTAAAATTGCGATGATAGACCTCTTAATATTATGGACTTAAACTTTCACCATAATTTTTTTTGTCACCCCAAACAATATTTTCGATATACTTAACAAAAAAAAATAGTCGATTTTTTTGGCTGAGTCTAATATATGTATATACACACATCAACAAAGTCTAGGGATAATAGTGAAAATTTGCAATAAAACAATTATTTTCGTAAAGAAACTCTCACTTTTTTTATGTGATATTCTCACATATATATTTTTACCATTTTTGAACGAAAAGTCATAAAAATATGCAATGAAATTAAAATAGCTTTATTAAACAATGAAGTGAAAATAACAAAAAAATCAAACTTTATTATGAAGGCAAAAATAATGTCAATAAGTGGTGTGACCTTCTCTACTATTCACCACAGCTCTGCACCGTCTGTTCATACTCAAAATTAATGCATCAATTGCCTCCTGGTCAATTGCGGCCCATTCTCTTTGTAAACTTAAAATGAGCTCTTGACGATTATTAAAAAAAAGATTTCTACGCATAACCCGCCTTTGTAACATGTCCCACAGATGCTCTATCGGATTTAAGTCCGGGGATTGTGCTGGCCATGGAAGAACGTCGATATTTTCTTCATCCAAGAAATCACTTATTATTCGTGCACTGTGTGGGGTGGCATTGTCGTGCATGAAAATGAATCTTGGACCAACAGCTGCAGCATAGGGAATCACGAGGGGTTGAAGGATAACATCTCGATAAGAAATTGAGTTTAAAAATCCCTGAAGTGGAACGAGATCACTTCTTCCTCCAACGCTGATGCCACCCCACACCCCACACCTCTTGAGCAGTTTCTAGCCGTGCTGCTGGTCCGGGACATCGCCATACCCTCGTTCTTCTTGAGCCTGGATGCAGGCCAAACCGAGATTCATCACTAAACAAAACTGTGGACCATTGTTCATCAGACCAATTTAAATGCTCCTGGGCCCACAAAAGTCTAGCTACTCGATTTCCAACGGACAAAGGGGGAACCCTGAGAGGGGCTCTAGCATGAAGATTTCTTTTATGTAATCGTCTTCTGATGGTCTGAGCACTCATAGTCACATTATGTGACAATTGCAACTCAGCAACCAACTCAGATGCAGTTTGAGATCAGTTTCTTCTGGCCTGCAGAACAATAAAGCGGTCTTGATTTGCCGTTGTAAGCCTTCCTCGGCCTGGATGTGTTTCATTCACACTGTTGGTCTCTCGATAGCGTTGACACAATCTGTTTATCACGCTTTGTGATGTTTCTAGCTGAGCGGCAACTGCTTGTTGGGTTGCACCCGCTTCAATCATCCCAATAGCTCTTAACATTTCTTCATTCGTTAAATGTCTTCTCGCCATGGTTTTGCAAACTCAACTGAATATTTTTATCAGCAGAGTGTAAGTTTTCTGGCGTTTTTGTTTGCAGTTTTTATATAGACCACTACCTTCGAATTTAGTATACAACTTTTTTGTTGAATATTTGAGTTGAATGAGAGTTTTTTTGATAAAAATAATTGTTTTATTGCAAATTTTCATATATATATATATATAACCAATAGACGCGAAGAACATCGTAAAATATAAGTAATTTTACAATTTTAATTTAGCTATATATAAGTGCATGTATAAGGCAATAATACAAGTATATTTTATCATACAAATTGTGGATGTAAAGAAAATGTCTAGGGAATTTAATTACATTTATTTGACGAATTATATTTAATGCGATCGATCGCTATCGTTTAATTACCAAACGCTGGAATGAAGAAAACAAATAAGTGTTTTTCATAAAAAACTTCTTTGAGGAATTTTTAATTGCTTTTAAATTATGTTTTGCAAGATTACATTTTCCTAGGTGGATCTTTGTCGTTTAACTAACATTTAATTTAACAAAGCGGAAAGCATTTCCAATTAATAAATAACAAGAAGCCGCGAATTTTAACAAAAGAAAAAATATCCTGGGTATTATTATTATTAATCTTTGCGAGGCAAAAAAACCACAGTAATTAGGTGCATTTCACAATTTATAATTTAACAATTTTTTACACGTGTATGATGTCTCTACTAGTGATGCAAGGAAGTAGTCATAACAGAAGCAGAAACGGAAACAGTTTTTGCGAAAGCGGAACAGAAGTGGAAGTATTTAATACTATAAAAAATATAATTTTTTACTTTTTATAAAATTACTATTCAAAATTTAACAAAGGCAAGTTTTATTTAATTAACAGTAATTTGCTGCAGCAAAAGGAGAGGGCTCTTGAAACCCTAGTCTTTACATGGAAAATAGGCTAAAGCATAATATACACGCAATAAGTCTAAATCCTATTTACCATACAATACACGGTATAATATTAATTTAATATGTAGTTTTATGACAATAAAACAGGACAAATATAAGTTAAGTCCAAGTAATATCTTCTAAATTCAACTATAAATAAATCATTATGTAAAACAGGACAAATATAAGTATAAGTCCAAGTAATATCTTCTAAATTCAACTATAAATAAATCATTGTGTAACTCAATAAACCTGCACTAAACGTGAGGTATCGTTAGAGGCTTTAAGATACGGTTGTAAACGTGGCCAATAAAGTTTGTACACCCTGACCCAAATAAAATAAATAATGTATAAAGTTTTCTTAATTTGGACCCTTAATTTTTTAGGGTAAGCCAGACAGTTGAACAATTGAACAAAAATTAATTCTTATTGACTAATTGAAATACTTAATACTTAAACACCTTTTTCAAATATTTGGTTTACAAATTTACATTTGATGCAAGTATGCAACTATGGCATTAAATGTAAATTTAATATATAATATATTAAATTTAAATTTAATATAATATATCAAATTAGAAACGACCGATCCGATGGCAAAAGGTGTGAAATTAACAACTTAGTCCCTTAGTGTCCAATCTGTTAAGAAGATTAAGTATAATGGGCTCAAATATCAAAAAAGTCGTGTTTTTAAACAAAAAGGAGAATGCAATATTCACTTTTACGACAAGAATCATTGTAATATGCCAATTTTTAAATTATCTACGCAGAGCTTAGGGCTTTTACTAAGAAAACAAGTTATTTTAAAATCTATAGATAAAGTTTTTGTTTATTTTTAGACTTTTACCTTATTTAAAGGAATCATTGTAATATGCCAATTTTTAAATAATATATTTATTATTAATGTTTTAAAATTAAAATTTGATCGTCCTTGTTATTTTTGGCATCTGATTTAAGGAGAACCAAATATACCGTCCCAATATTTTTTCATCTAAAAATCCCTTTATTGAATTAATTTCTTGGTTAAACCACGTCATCACACAGAGATTTAAAAAAAAATATATCTCTACCAAGTCCAAAAATGGATCATTTAAGACGAAATTAGCGTTAAACTGACAGATAGATAACCTCAATCGCTTGTATTCAAATGTCAAGGTGGAACTTTTCGTCAAAAAAGTCCGAGACATTTTGTGTTAATTTACCTTAATTAGATAAATAACACATTCAATAATAGTTTAGTAACGTTATA